GTACCCTAATTAAGTTAATAACAATGTACCTACCTATATTGTTTAAGTTTAAAAAATTTGGCTCTCAAAAGAAATTTCAATTGTTGTACTGTTGATATTTGGCTCTGGTGACTAATGAGTTTGCCGACCACTGGGTTTGAGCCTCATTCTGATACACCAAGGTTTCGGATTAGCCATCTGGTCAGGGCACATACAAGAAACAACCAATGAAAGCAGAAATAAGTGGAACTACAAATCTCTCTCTCTCTCTCTCTCTCTCTCTCTCTCTCTCTCTCTCTCCCCCCTTCCTGTTTCTCTCAAAAATCAATAAATTTTTTAAATGCATAAATCTATACTAATAAAAGGGTAATATGCTAATTAGACCAGGAGACCTTCCAGACGTCCTTCCGGACAAAACCATGGTGGCAGGGCCAAGGTAGAGTCTGTTAGGGGCAATCAGGCCGGCAGGGGAGGGCAGTTGGAGGCAATCAGGCAGGCAGAGGGGGGCAGTTGGGGGTGAGCAGGCCAGCAGGAGGGGCAGTTAGGGGCAAGCAGGCCAGCAGGCAGAGTGATTAGGGGTGATCGGGCAGGCAGGCAGGTGAGCAGTTAGGAGCCAGCAGTCCCGGATTGCAAGAGGGATGTCTGAGGGGTTCCAGATTGGAGAGGGTGCAGGCCGAGCTGAGGGACACCTCCTCCCCCTGTGCAAGAATTGTGCACTAGGCCACTAGTGTCTATATAAAGAGAGAGAGAAACATAAAACAAATATAAAAGGCGGATGGGTGTTCATTGCGCTATTCTTGTCTATTTTATGTAGGTTTAACATTTTTCAAAAGAAAAAGTTGAGACAGAGTTGAAAGTTGAAAAGAATCCCCTATCAAATTAAATAAACAGACAAAATGCTTAAAGATAAATAAGGGACTATGATTGCCCATCAGTGCACCACATTAACCTCCTTCCTGAAAATCTAGTGACTGGGAATATATATGTCAAAGGAAATCATTCTTTTAACCAGAATGTCTGGCTGACTGCAGGCTGCTTTAGGCCATGATGCCTGGAGCCAAATCAAATTACAACTATAACCATCTAGCTGTGCAGAGGGGGCAGCCCGCCAGTGCCAGACCACCTCCCTGGCGTCCTCATAGCATCCAATGGGCAGGAGCTTTATCTCCATTTCACAGATGAGAAAACTGAGGCCAAGAAGAGCCCTGGGCTTGTCTCGATTCACATAGCTGGTAAGTGGCAGAGGCAGGACTCAAACCCAAGTCTTTTTGACCCTAAGATCCCAACTTGTGGGGAAGGTCAGGGCTGCTCTGCTAGTCACCCAAATAAACCCACGAGTACAAATCCCACTGAGGGAGAGGGAGAGGCAGAGAGGCAGGAGACCTCACCCCAGGGAGCTCCGGCCCTGAGGTGGGCTGTGGCCTCAGGGGTGAGTAGGGGGTGACCAGGCTGCAGGTGGACCGCACTCCAGGTAGAAGGAACAGCATGTGCAAAGACCTGGTGCTGGAAGGTGGCGAGTGAGGAGGGGATGGGTGGAAATGGGCCAGACAACGAGAGGTCTTGGAGGCCCAGGAAGGGGCTTGGAGGAGCGCACTGAGGAGCCAAGGGAGGGTTCTGAGCAGGGGAGAGGAGCAGATGTGCAATTTAACAGGACTCTTCTGACTGCCTTGTGCGGGGGGGGGGGTTTGGAGGAGACTGACAGCTGGTGACTGGGAAGGAAGCTGGAGGTCAGGGAGAAGCTGGGGCGGGTGGAATGGTTAGTACACAATTGAGGTTCAATAAACACTTGGGCAAAGATCCAGAAGCACATGAAGGCTCCGTATTGAGAAAGAGCAAGGAACCAGGCCTCAGACATCACTGGGAAAAACAGTCACGGATACGATCCCCAGGGCGGACAATTGGGCCATATCCATCAAGTTACTTTGGCCAGCAGTTCCACTTCAAGGAGTTATGTGAGTGACACAAATGAGGGAAATAATAGACGAACCATGTCATTCTCTACAGCCCCGCTTACAATAAATAGTAGGAGATGGAAACAACATAACTGCCCACCAATAAGTCACTGCACCAGAAATTACCACACACCCACACTACGGACACTGTGGAAACGAGCATCGGGCAGCTTCATACATGCTAGTGTGACCGAGCTCCAAGATATATTCTTTTTTTTCCTCACCTGAAGATATGTTTATTGATTTTTAGAGAGAGAGGAAGCGGCGGGGAGAGAGAGAGAGAGAAACATCGATGTGAGAGAGGAACATCGATTGGTTGTCTCCCACACGGGCCCTGACAAGGGATCAAACCCACAATGAGGTATGTTCTCTGACCAGGAATCGAACCCACAACCTTTTGCTGTACAGGATAATGCTCCAACCAACCGAGCTACCTGGACAGGGCCAAGATATATTCTTAAGTTAAAAAAAAAAGCAAAGCACAGAACAATACACATATACTATACAGATGCTCCTCGGCTTACGATGAACTTATGATGGGGTTACACACCGATAAATGTCCCAGCGTAGGGTGAAAACATCAGGTCAAAAATGCATTCAGTGCACATACAGAACATCACAGCTTAGCCCGGCCTACCTTAAATGTGCTCAGAACACTTACATTAGCCTACAGTTGGGCAAAATCATCTAACACAAAGTCTACCTATATTAGAAAAGGCCCATGGCCCTAGCGCCGGAACGCTGTAATGACCGGTCTCCAGGAGGTGCATTGAGCACCTCTCGGTCCCCCACCTCCAACCCCAGGAGCAGCGGCTCTCAGGTGGGGAGGTGGGCGTGAGCTGCTAGTGGTGGAGAGCTACAAGCGGCGGAGGGTGGGGCATGAGCTGCTAGCAACAGAGCTCCGAGCAGCTATGGGCAGGGCGGCCAGCTGAGGCAAGCGGGAGCGAGCTACTCGCGCACGATTTCCTGCGTGCTGGGCCTCAGTCTGTAATCATAAAAGCATGATATGCTAATTAGACTGGACAGCCGAACGACCTTCCAGACGAAGCCGGGGCTGCGAGGGCCCAGCCCCTTGCACAAATTTGTGCATCGGGCCTCTAGTTTTATAATGAAGTGTGCAATATCTCATGCAATTTTTTATGTGTATATCAAATGTTACCCCATCGCAAAGTCAAAATATTGTAAGTCGAACCATCTGGTAAGTCCGGGATCATCTGTATGTGTGTGCATATATATATCATGCTCCCCTCTATGTACCAAAAGGGGGATGGTATTTATGTATGTATATATTCACCTGTATAATCAAATTCCTTCTGGAAGGACACATGAGATACTGATAACAATGGTTACCTCTGGGGGTGGGGGGAGTGTCTTCTGTTCATTTTAACTTAAATTCTGTTAATATAGCCAAAACCGGTTTGGCTCAGGGGATAGAGCGTCGGCCTGTGGACTGAAGGGTCCCAGGTTCGATTCCGGTCAAGGGCATGTACCTGGGTTGCGGGCACATCCCCAGTGGGAGATGTGCAGGAGGCAGCTGATCGATGTTTCTCTCTCATCGATGTTTCTAACTCTCTATCTCTCTCCCTTCCTCTCTGTGAAAAATCAATAAAATATATTTAAAAATAAATTGTTAATATAAATCTTTACATTTTCAAACATTTTTGAACCATATCATACGACTCAAATATTTAAAACAAAATGAAGATGTATATAGTTAAAAAAACCCCACACACCTTACCTGTACCTTATCCATTGAGCACTCCTTCCCAAAAGTAATCACCTCTACTAATTTTTGTTTTTCCTTCCAGAGTTTCTTTATGCGCATACTCGCAAATACAAAATTAAAATCTTATTTTCCCTCTCTTAACACAAAAGCCAGTATCATACCCTACCCTCCTCCATTTTGGGGGAGGGATTATTAATACATCTTAGAAATACTTCCACATCAGTACCTAATGGAATCTTCATTTAAAATTTTTTCTGCCGTGGCCGGTTTGGCTCAGTGGATAGAGCGTCGGCCTGCAGACTGAAAGGTCCCAGGTTCGATTCCGGTCAAGGGCATGTACCTTGGTTGCGGGCACATCCCCAGTAGGAGGTGTGCAGGAGGCGGCTGATCGATGTTTCTCTCTCATCGATGTTTCTAACTCTCTATCCCTCTCCCTTCCTCTCTGTAAAAAATCAATAAAATATATATTTAAAAAAAAAAATTTTTTTTTCTGTATTAACCGTAGGTATTTATATTTACCTGCACACATACACAGACATATGTGTTACAACTGCACAGAATTCTGATGTGTAGCTGTTTGCTGACTCATTTACCAGTTCCTCCCTGACTGATGCACATTGAAATGCCCTCCTTCTCACGCGAACAAGGCTGCAGTGGATAACCTTGTACATCCCTCTGTGCGCCCAGACACAGACACAGCTACACTACAAATTCCTGAGGTGGAATGGCCAGGCCTAAGAGCAATGATGGTCTATATATATAAAAGCCTAAGCAACCCTTCAACAGGTAGCTATAACACACACTGACCACAGGGGGCTTCCGCCGGTAGGTTAGCTTGCTGCTGGGGTCCTGTGGGTAGGGACTGAGGGAGGCTGTAAGGACCAGGCCTCTAATGATAATAATAGTACTAGCAGCTCAACTCTATTGAGCGCTGACCAGCTGGAGGTCCTGAGCATGTACGAACCATTCACTCCTCCCAGCAACCCCAGCTGGCTGGTTATTATTGCCATCCCATTTCCTAGAGGAGGAAACTGAGGCACAGCGGGGCTGAGCCACCTGCCCAGGCTGCCCAGCTAGCAAATGGCTGCACGGGGATTCCAACCCAGCCACTCTGCTGCGCCAGGCCTCGCTCTGACAGGCTCCCCTGCCTCCGCAGCCATGGCTGCAAAGGGTCGGGGAGAGCCGCTCTGAAGGCCCTTTTGAATGTGGGGCCACGTGACAGTAGTACCGGCTCCAACAATAGCGCCGGCGATACTAACCACCACCATCAAACGCGTGGCTCAGGACACGCGAGGCGAATCCTGGGCCGGGGAAGCGCGAGCCCCACCCGCCCCGGGCCCCACCTCGATGGCGGGCAGCGTCTTGCTGGCCTCGGTGCTGCTCTCCCCGAGGATGCTGCCGGCGGAGCGGCCCTCGCACTCGTAGCGGAAGCGCATGCCGCGCTGCTTGGGCTGCTCGATGATGACCAGGTGCGGCCGCGGGGCCGAGGGCGCGAGCCGGCTCACGGGGCAGCCCCAGGGCGGCGGCGTGGCCGGGGGCGCGGCGGGGCCCAGGGTGACGGTGCTCAGGGAGGTTGCCCCGCGAGACACCAGGCGCGTCAGCCCCTCTCCCGGGCCCGGCGGCGCCACCTCCAGGCCGAAGCCGTTCTCCTTGATGTACTCATCGATGATCTCTGCGGGAGAAGCAAAAGCCGGTTATCAAAAGAAAAGGTTTGCTGAGCCCCCTCCCCGCATCCGTGCCTCCCCTGCCTCTCCCAGTCCATTCATTTCTTGTGGGCCGAATGCGGGGCCACAAACCCAAAACACACAAAGCCCCTGCTGTCCTCGCCAACAGCCTCCCCGCACGCCCCAGTTCTTGAAGCCAGAGACCCGGGGGGCAGAGGGGGCAGTCTGGTTTCTCCTTCCCCTGCGCCTGCCTGTCCACTGCCCTCCCTAAGAGCACCCCCACCACCACCACCACGTGCTCAAGCTGGCAGGGTGCACATCTGTGCTAGTTGCTCATGATCTGCAAGTCCCATGCATGAACTTCTGCCTCTTCCTCAGTTCTCTCCACCCACACCGCCTCCGTCCTGGCCCACCCTCCATGTCTTCCATCTGAACCACCACTCCTGTTCCCCAAATCCAGTGGTTCTCAACCTTATGGCCCTTTATTTTTTTTATTTTTTTTTTCTTATGGCCCTTTAAATACAGTTCCTCATGTTGTGACCCAACCATAGAATTATTTTCGCTGCTACTTCATCACTGTCATGTTGCTCCTGTTATGAATCGTAATGCAAATATCTGATATGCAGGATGGTCTTAGGCGACCCCTGTGAAAGGGTCGTTCGACCGCCAAAGGGGTCGAGACCCACAGGTTGAGAACCGCTGCCCCAATCTGTCCTCCACACACAGCCAGAGAGATCTCATGTTACACCCTGACCGAAGCCTGCCGTGCTTCCATCTCCCTTAAAGACAAAGTCAACACCTCCCCATATAAAACCTTCTCCAAACCCCATTCATCTCAGAAAAGCAAAACTAAAACAGAACCCCACACCTCTGGTGCTGGCATAGAGCCTTGCTGCGGCCTGGCCCCTGCTGTCCTGGGCCATCCCGCCACCCCCTCACGCCCCCCCCCCCCCGCCCCTTGCACCCATCCAGTCTTTTTTCTGTTGCTTGCACCCACCAAGCCTGGCCCTTTTCAGGGCAGTGTACTTGCTCCTCCATCTGCCTGTTCCACGCTTCCCCTCATCCAACCCCTACTGGCTCCTCGTCCTCTGGTCTTAGCTCAAATGCCACCACTCCAGAAAGGCCCCATCTAATGCCCTCTCTCCCTCTACCTGTTTGATTTTCTTCACAGCCCTTTGCCCAGTCTGACCTTATCTTATTCATTTACTCCTTTTGCTACTGTCTCCCCCGCTAGAGGCTAGAGCGTCAGCTGCAGAGGGCCCTTTGGTCTGTGACTGAATCCCCGGGGCCTGGAACAGCCTGGCACGTGCTCAGCACAGTGGCAGGTGCTCAGTACAACTCATTGGAGGAATGAACAGTGACACGGGCGGCAGCTGACATGACAGCCTTTGCCGGGTGTCACGCACCACTGGTACCTGGAAACACGACTGTTAAACTGTCCCAACAGGCCCCGAAGTCACACTGTGACCCTCCCCTCAACACCCCCACAAAGAAGACCAAACTCTCTGCTGTGAGCACTGGACTCCTCAGCCTCCCTCAGACTTGCCCTGCGATACTCACCCAGTTCATCTGCGGGAGAAAGAGGAAGAGAAAAAGAGAAAGGTGAGGGCCAGGTAAGTGGTCAAACTTTCATTTTTAAGACAGATTCCCCACCCCATCCTTTCCTGGTACCCTCCCTCTCCCCTCCTGGGAAACTGGGCTCTGACTCCCAGGGATGCTAAACCTTCTCCTGGCTACCTTCTGTTTAGCTCCCAATTTTGGGGGTCCCAGGGTCAGGGTCCCCTCAAATGTCTCCCCAAAAACATTTAGGCCAGGGATTATGAAGTGTTGTTGGGAATTGGAGGAAAAGCCGAGGGTCTTATAACCAGGAGAAAAATGAACACTGAAGATTCTAAACAAAAGGTGGGGGTGCTCTCTCCCTACAGTGCACCCTAGGCCCCCAAAGGTCACTGGCTGGTGTCTGAAGATCCCAGGAGGCCGATCCTCCTCCTCCAGGCAGCCACCCACTCTGCATCATAGGCTAGTCCCCCAGCAGTGCCCACCCGCCATCCTGGATTCACCCCCACTTCCTGAGGGAGGAGGGACAGTAACGCTAGGAATCCCTTATCACCTCAGCCCTAGAAGGGGCCATGGAGAAACCGAAACCAACCTCCCTTTATTCCACAGACAGGACAAGGGGAACTCCACAGGGAGTAAGTGAGCATGGAGTCACACAGCAAGCAAGGGCAGGCCGGGCCCGACGCCCCACCCAGGGTTGCCTGTGCTGGCCACTGGCCTCAGACACCAACCAGCCCGCTGCCAGAGCTGTCCTCCTCCTCAACTCTCGGGGAGTGGCTCCTGGCAGCCAGACCTTTGCTCCTTGGAAAGCAGTATTCCTGCAGCCTTTATCTCATGTAATCTGTGAAGTCAGCAGGGTGGGGAAGACACCCTCACTTGGCAGATGGGGACACGGAGGCTGGGAGAGAGAAAGGGACCTGCTGCAGATCACTGGCAGGACAACCTCAAGTCACTTGAACTGGGAAAAACCTTAGGCATCTATACCGAATGACCTGGGGACCCGAAGATGAGTTAGACTAGTGGTTCTCATAGTGGTTCTCAACCTTCCTCATGCCGCGACCCTTTAATACAGTTCCTCATGTTGTGGTGACCCCCAATTTCATGGTTACAAATTGAACATAATTAAAGCATAGTGATGAATCACAAAAACAATATGTAATTATGTGTTTTCCGATGGTCTTAGGCGACCCCTGTGAAAGGGTCGTTTGAGCCCCAAAGGGGTCGCAACCCACAGGTTGAGAACCGCTGAGTTAGGCTTTGTCTGAGCTCTTAAGGAGCTCCTATGCTGCAGGGGGAAACTGAGAACCCAGGCAACAATGACCAGAGCTCCGGACTGCCTCAGTTCAAATTCTGGCTCTGTTACTCGCTTGCTATGTGGCCTTAAGCCCCTTACTTAATCCGTTTGTGCCTTGGTTTCTTCATCTATAAAATGGACACAATAACACCTGCCTCATTGGGCTGTTGTGAACATTAAATGAGCTAATACTACATGGGAAGCACTTGGAACTGCCACAATAGTAGGTGCTATATAAATGCTGGATAGAGCATCGGCCTGCGGTCTGAAGGGTTCCCAGTTTAGTTCTGGTCAGGGGCACATGCCTGGGCTACAGGTTCGATTCCCCTTGTGAGGTGGGGTGCAGGAGGCAGCCAATCAGTGATTCTCTCTCATCACTGATGTTTCTATCTCTCTCTCCCTCTCCCTTCCTCTCTGAAATCAACAAAAATATATTTTAAAAATAATTTTTAAAAATAAAACAAATACTGGCTGCTATTAAACAAGGTGTTGGGAGATGCTGTTTTATAGACTGGGTAAACCACATCCCATCTCTAGGCCTCAGTTGTATGCTTATAAAATGGGGCTGTTAGGAAGACATGCTTTCAGAGCATGTAGTGTGGGGTCACGCAGATACTGGTTTTAATCCCAGCTGTCATTCACTAGCTGTGTGGCCTGGGGCAAGTTGCTTAACCTCTCTGAGCCTCCTTCCCTATAAAATGAGATCTGAGCTCCTGTCTCAGCCATTAACATGAGGATTCAGGATCACACAGAGAAATGGCTTAACACAGGATCTGACCATTTGAGGCCCTCCATAAAACTTAGCTAATATTATTGTTATCTAAAATCCCTTTTCAGCCAGGAAATACTGGGTTCAGCTAAAATAACACCCCACACTGCCCCCTAACCTTCCATATAGACTCGCTGCCATCCAGGGGCAGCCAGGATGGGCCACACCTGAGCAGATTTGAGAGCAGAAAGCCAGTTGTCTTCCCTGCCTCTGGGCCTTTGCACAGGCTGGTCTGTGCCAGGATTCTCTTCCTCCAGTTCTTTGCATGACCTCCTTCTCTGCAAATGTCATCTCCTAGATAGGTCTTCCCTGACCTATATCCAAGATAGTCCTTAGGACCCCCACTATAGTCACTTACAGGTAGGTGCCTTTGTTTTATAATTTACATTAGAATCTGACATGACCTTATGTTACAGTGACTCATATGTCTGCTGTAGACTACGAGCACCACGGAGTAAGGAACATGTCTGCCCCATTGCCACTGCTTGTACCCAGGACACTGCATGTGTCTGTCCCATCAAAATGAAGGAAATTTTCCCTCCCACTCTATCTCAGTAGTTCTCCCATCCTCAGCCTTCTCTGAGATACTACTGACCCCAAGATTTCTTCATAGCCTTTATCACACTTTATAATCCCTTGTTTAATTTATTGTTTACGTGTCTGCCTCCACGTCTAGGTAGGGAATCCCATGAGGGCGGAGCCCAGGCTGTTTCAGTCACTGCTGAGTCCCCAGCACGGCCCAGCACAGAGCCAGGTACCGAACAGGAACTCAATAAATATTTATTGAATGGATGACATCAGAAATTATTCTCAACTGAAACCAAAGATCTCGGTCTCAGGAAAGAAAAGTCTCAGCCTTGTTCCTGCCCAGAACCAGTGTTTGGGCAGTACCTGTCCCCAACGTCATCGCCAACCACTCACTACCACCCAAACTCTCAGATCTGTTAGAGAACCCCAGGTCCTCCTCCACGGCCAGGCCAGCATTTCTGTGTCCATCCCAAGGCTCTACCTCCAGAGAGAAGCTCAGACTCAGCCCATGGGACCACTGAGTTTCCATGGTGACAGGACTCGTCCCTGCACTCCAAATCTCAGCATAGTAGTAAGAGAGATGCTTCATTTGGCTGTGATTCTGCATTTCCTTGGGCGGCACTGAATGTTGGGTGGCATGAGCTGAGGGACTTTAAAGAACAGTGGTTCTCAGCATCTCTTGGAAACTTGCTAGAAATATACTCTCAGAAGCCATCCTAGACCTACTGAATCAGAAACTCTGGAGTTGGGGCCCAACAATCTGTTTTAACAAGCTCTCAGGGTGACTCTAATGCGAATAAAGGTTTAAGAACCACTGCTATAGACTGTCTAACAATAATAATTATTATTATTACACCACTAACAGTTAACACTTATTGAGTGTTTACTGTACGCCAGTCACTGCTTTGGAAGTTTACCTGAATCAGCTCATTGAATCCTGTCAATCCTCCTAAAAGGGGAAGACACTGATATTATGTCCACATTACAGATGAGGAACACTGAGGCCCAGAGAGGGGAAGTGACTTGCAGCCCCAAAGCGCCGGTGAGGTCATTACGCTCTGCACTGCCATGTGAATCTCTACAGAGGACTCCTCTTACAGTGTGAACAGGTGCTTAGTTTTACCTGTCCAGCTCCTAATCACCTGGGAGGTAGGGGCATCTGGAACCCCCATCTAGACGAGCAGGGAAGGACACCACCAAGGAAAGCTGTGCCCAATGGATTCCCCCCTCCCCTGTCCTGAGTGTGCAGGTGGGCAGGAACTGTGGAGGGCTGCTCACCCGTGGTCCTGGAAACGGCCAGCGAGAGCGAGGAGAGGTCCGGGGCCCCTGCAGGAGGGAGGCAAGTCTCAGGAGGTGATGGAGATCCCTCAGAAACCTGTCAAGCTCCACCCTCTTCCTCTCCTGGCCCCTCCCTTTTCTCACCCCTCGCCCAGTATGGCCTTGCCCCCTTCCCTAACTCGGGAGCAGGTTTCTGTCATGTCACCCCACCGTTTCATCACATTCAGGCCCCGCTTCTTCTCTCCCTTAAGGTCGGGTCTCTAGGAGTCCTCAACCTGGGTTAGGAAAGCTACCGTTCCCTTCCTTCTCTCGGGGTCAGACCCTAACCCTTCACCTTGTCCATGTCAAGCCAGTCCCCTTCTTCCTTCTCAGACCCTGCCACTACTTTCCGAGGCAAGCACTCCTCATTCTTTCTTCTCTGAATCAGCCCCCACTTTTCTCTCTACTAGAGTCCTCCAGCCCCTACCTTCGCCCCCTCGGAGTCTGCCTTCGTCCCCCTTTTTCCCCCAGGTCCCGCCCCTTACTCTGAGTAGGACCCTGCTTCCTTCTTCGTTAGGCCCCGCCCCTTCTGTGAGCCAGGCCCCTCCTTTTTGGCCATCTCAGAGTATGGCCACGCCCCCTTCTCACGCTCACGGAGTCTGGCCCCGCCCCACCCCTCAGGAGCTGGTCCCGCTCTTCCTTCTCCGAGTTGGCCCCTCCCCTCCCCTTGGAGTTGGGCCCCGCCCCCTTCTTTGCCTCAGGCTCAGGCCCCGCCCCCTCCTCACTCTGTAGTGGGACGCCTCTCTCTTACCTTGGGCCAGACTCTGTCACCATCCTCTGCCTCCTTCCTTCCCTCTAATACAGTGTCCCCCGAACCCTCACACTCTCCCCACAAAACCCCTAGACTTCTGTAGGAACCCCCAGAACCCTCGCATCACCAATCCCGCCCGACTCCTCTGCTGAATCCCGGCTCCGCTTACCCAAGGCCCCCAGCTCAGGCGCAGCGGACGGTCTGGCGACGCGGCGACTCGGCATGGCCCGACCAGTGGGGACCGACGGCCCGGAGGCCGGCCCAGACTAAAACACACAGCGGGCAGGCCGGGCGGCCGGGCGGCACGGTCCAGCGGACGATCGCGGGTCGGGCGAACAGCAAAAGGGCTGGGGCCGCAGGCCGGGCAGGACGCGCGGCGCCCGGGGTTGCGGGGGGCGGCGGGCCGGGCCGGGCAAGCGGCGGGCGGGGGCGGGGCGGCGGAATTCCCCGGCGCTGCCGGCCTGCGCGTCCATTGGCTCTCGCCCCGCCGTGACGTTTCACAAGGGGAACGGGAAAACCCCCGCGCGTCACGTGGCCTAGGGGGCGGGGCCGGCCGGGAAGAGGAGGTTGGGCGTTTGGGAGGGGCCAGCACTGCTGGCCATTGCTCTGGCGGAGCCAATTGGGCCTGCTTAGAGCCATTCCCGCCCTGCCCAAGGAGCAAGTTGGGGAAACTGAGGCACTCCCCTCCCCCCCCAAGTCTGCCAGCGAACTTGAACCTGTTGTTTTTCTGGATGGAAGGGAAGCTTTGGGATCAGGAGAGCTCTACAGCTTTCGTTGATAATGAGCTTTAGGAAACTTCCATGGTTTCTCTACTAATTTTCTGCAAATTGAGAGTGAAGATATTTTAACGTTTAAATCTAGAATGTCAGCTCTAGGATTTGCCTGTTTTGTTCCTTGCTGTATCCCTAGCACCAAAAACAGTGCCTGGAACACAGTAGGTACCCAAGGAATGGTTATTGAATGATTGGATGGATGTTTTATTCCTCCCCACAATGCCAAAGTTTCCCAGAGCACTTACAGCTTCAAGGCTCAGTAAATCAGTCCGGGAATGATGTCAGTGTAGCCCCAGTGTACATCCTGAGCTGTGTACCTGACCCTTGAGCAAAGTGCTTACCTGGGGGCCTCACAGATGCTTCATACCTCACAGTCGCATCAGAGGCATGTGATAGAACCAGGATTCTTGCAGAGGGGAGACTGAGGCTCAAGGAGGGGCAGCCATTTGGTTAGATCATAGTCCCAAAGCCTCCCGTTCTTCAGAATGACTAGGTGACCATAGGTTCCAACATGGATGCCGGGCACCCTGACCACAGAATGCTATATCTGCTTGTGTAAAATCTGAGTGTTTCTCTTATCTTTGTCGTCCACAGATGATTATTAGACATACAAAGTAAAAAAATTAAAAGCCCTGGCCAGTTTGGCTTAGTGGATAGTGCGTCCCGACTGTGGACCAAAGGGTCCCAGATTTGATTCTGGTCAAGGGCACGTACCTCTGTTGCAGGGTCCTCCCTGGCCCGAGCCCTGGTCGGGGTGCATGCAGGAGGCAACCAATCGGTATGTTTCTCTCACATCGATATTTCTGTCTTCCCCTTGCTCTCTAAAAATCAATGGAAAAATATCGAGTTAAGGATTAAAAAATAATATAAAATAAAATAAATTCATTGGACATATAATTATTGAGCATCTGCTGTGTGTCAGGGCCTGCACTGGTCATTGGGGACACAGCACTCACCAAGCCAGGCCTGGTGCCTCTTGTGGGAGGCAGCAGCAGTTCTCAAAGTGTGGCCACAAGCCCTTCAGGCTCAAGTTGGAGCACTACTGCTAGACAGCAAAATATTGAGCAAACTTTTAAAAATTGCCAAGGGCCAGAGAGCAACTATGTTTCACTTTAGGCTCTGAGGGCCAGACAGGTCTCAACAGTCAACTCTGCCATAACGCAAAAGCACCCAGACAGTACAATGAGATGGCTGTGTTCCAATAAAACATTATGGCTACTGAAATTTGAATTTCGTATAATTTTCATGTGAAACAAAATATTCTTCTTGAGCTTTTTTAACTATTTAAAAATTACACAAAAACTGGAAAAGTCTGCATTTGGCCTGTAAGCTATAGTCTGCATACAAGGGCATTGCAAGGGAGGTTATGATTGAGGGTCTAGAATCAGAGTGCCTGGGTTCAAATCCTAGGCCTCCCACCTACCAGCTGTGTGACCTTGGGCAATTGACTTCATCACTCTCAGCCCGATCTGTAAATGGGCCTAATAACAGGATGGTTGTGAGGATTATATGATACTAATAGCACTGGCCAGGTAGTTCAGTTGGTTAGAGTGCCATCCCGGTATGCCAAGGTTGTGGGTTCGAACCCCAGTCAGAACATATACAAGAATCAATGAATGCATAAGTGGAAAAACAAATCGATGTCTCTCTCAAATCAATAAATAAAAATGCTAAGAATGGCACTTGTATACAGCTCTTAAATGTGCTGGGCACTGTCCTAACACTTTGTGTCCTGAAACCTTGGACAACTTTCTCAGTTTCTCTGGGTTTTCTCATCTGCTCTTGTGAGCATCTGACTTAATTATTACAGTGTAATGGTGCCAGGCAGTGTTCCAAAAGCTGGGGACACAGCAAAGGACACAAAAGACAAAAGCCCCTCTCATTATGGCACTGAAATCCAAGTGAGGGAGACCGATGGAAATAGATAAGCAAATACATGTCTGGTGCTGATGGCAGTGTTACAGAATAAAGCAGGATATATGGATTGAGGTTAGGGTACTATTTGGGTTAGGAAGTTGAGGGAGGTTCTGGGATGACGTTCGAGCAAAGAGCTGAAACTGTGAAGGATCCACTCCATTCCGGTCTCCTTGCTATTACTTGAATATCCCATCCATGAGGTGGGAACATGCATCGCATATTCCAGTAATAGCAAGCAGTCTGGAGTGGAGACCCCTGGGGAAGTAGTGGAGAGTACAGCAATGGTCTGTAAGGTGATGGGGACATCAATATTAAACTGAATGAAATAAACCACATACAGCTCTTAGACTAGAGCTTGGCTCATAAGGGCCATGGAGCAGTGGCTCCGAGAAGCCCACCTGATTAGCTTCTGCCCCTTGCAAATGTCAAGTTTCACAACTGGGTGTTGGATGAGTAAGTGAAAGGACAAGTCAGAAACCCTCAGCCCCTTAAGGGCAGACCTGGGGTATCTTGGTCCCCGCTGTGTTCACAGACCCCTCAGCTCAGGACAGTGTCCAGGGGAGGGGCTCAGGGAGCATTTGTTGACTGGTTGTCAGTCTCTCCATCAGTGTCAATGTGGGCCCTTTAGGGTCCACACTCCTGGGTATGTGCTTGTCTGTGAGTCGGGACTGGCAAACACGCATTCAGCAAACATTCCTGCAGCGCCTCCTCTGCGCCAAGGACATGGCCATGACCAGGACAGCCCTAGCTGTCCTCACAGGGCTCAGCTCAGTGGGGAACAACTTGTCCCGTGATGACCCACAGTGGATAGGGCTGGAATGTGGGACCCCAGGGAGCTGGGGGGAGAGGGGGCGGCGCTTAGAGGAAGTGGTCAGGGAGGGCTTCCTAGAGGAGACATTGGAGCTGCAACCTGGAGGATGCACAGGGTAAGGTAAAGAGCGTTGTGCCTGGAAAAGTTTCCCAGGTAAGGGAAGAGCATTCGCTACAGCCAGGAGATCATGGCAAGTTAAAGCAAGAAAGATGAAACTACAGGGGTTAAGAAGCCCCCCCCCCCCCCGCCCCACCCCCAGTCTGGCTCACCAGTTAGGACCCTGGGCACTTCTCCCAAGGATACTAGGGAGCCATGTAGGTTCTAAGCAGGGGATGGGCAGGGTCAGATTTGTGCTTTAGTTAAGTTCTCTGGTGCCCTGGCTGGTTGTTCACTGGTTAGAGCACTGGCCCACGGACCAAAGGGTCGCCGGTTTGATTCCTGGTCAAGGGCATGCATGTACCTTGGTTGCTGGTTCAATCCCTGGCCCCAGTCAGGGTGTCTGCAGGAGGCAACCAGTCAATGTGTCTCTCTCAAATTGATGTCTCTCTCTCTCTCTTATCCCTCCTCCCTCCCTTCCACTCTCTCTCTAAAGATCAATGGAAAAAATATCCCTGGGTGAGGATTGAAAAAGTAAAAGTTCTCTGGCTACTGGATGGTGGTGAACAGGAAGGGCAGGACATCAGGGAGAAGGCTGGGTGAGAACCCAAGGGGCGAGAAGGATTCTGAACCAGGTGGTGTCAGTGGAACTGGTGACTCCTGATCGTGGGGTAAAGGCTGGAGTGTGCGGCTGTGGGAGGAGGGTCAGGGAAGATGAGGCCAGGGAGTCCAGGTGGCCACACCCCCTGGGCTCCTAAGCTTTCTCCTAGGACACGGGGAGCCATGGAATGGTGTGCAGAGTACGAAAGGGAGTGGACTGGGCCGTGGCTGCCTGAGGGTGGAAAAACCTGCAGTCTTGCGTGCATGTGTGCGCACCTGCATGCACATGTGTACACATGGGGGTCTGAGCACACTAGCATCTCCCCAGACATGGTGGATTCCCTGTCTGGCTCTGCAGGGTGGGGTGGAGGTGAGGCCTCAGGGAAGACCCTCAGCCCCAGGCCTCCTCTCCCTGCAGTGTTGATGAGAACCCCCCCGACTTGCAAATCTGGGAATGTGGGTTCTAATCCCTCTGAGTGCAGGGAGGCCCAGAGGCCTGTCTCCTCACCTATGAAGTGGGTAAACAGCCCCAGTACCCGTTGCTGGGAAGGCCCATGGGCCATGCACTAAGACAGTGGTCGGCAAACTGTGGCTCATTGAGTGTGGCTCTTCCACAAAATACCACGTGCGGGCGTGCACGTACAGTGCAATTGAAACTTCGTGGCCACTCAAGGGGCCAAAGAGCCGCATGTGGCTCGCAAGCCGCAGTTTGCCGACCACTGCACTAAGAGCTTGGTTGCGTCCTTGCGCTGGCAGCTCTGGGGACACTGGAGACACCCTAACAACTCCAAGCTCTATAATTGGGCACCACCTGAGTGAGGGTTCACCCCATACCTCTGCTGCGACCTGGGGAGGCAAGCTCGTAAGTCCAGAGAAGGGAGGTCACGTGTCCAGGGCCCAGGACTGCTGAATGCGGAAGCTGGTGAAAATGGCTCAGGCGGTGAGTGTTTGCTCAAGAGGCAGGCCTGAGGCCCGAAAACAGTAAGTGGGCACAGGCAAGGCGCTGGGCCTCATGGGTAAGAACATAGGTGCAGCGAGGTCACAGCAAGCAGCTTCCCCATCTGTGACATGGGAGTTATGGAAGCCCCATCAGAGGACTGCTAAGAGGAGGAGGAGGGTGAGAAAGGGGCCTGGCCCAGAGGGCCACTGTCCCCATTTTACCGAGTTTTTCAACCTGCAGGGTCTCCTTCCCAGACCTGGGAGAGTCACCCATACCT